TTGTTTTTTCCTCGATGGCTGCAGTGCTCTCCCATAGAGTTCTGCTCGCTAGAAGCGACTCAAGTCAATACAGTTCGGTCTGTGGCAACCACTCGGGAGTCAGAGGTGGTGAGGAGACTCACTACTCCTCTCAGCAGAGCCCAGTTTGTGCACGTGCTCCTGGTGCTCTTGAAAGAAGCGCCTGAAACGTGCTCTTCTGATCTCCCCGTCGCCGTGGCCCGCGCTGTGAGCGCTGACCGTCTGAGGTTAGGGAGTTACTGGCCAGTCTACAGTGACCCTGGACAATGTCATCAGCCCGCCCCCGACTGCAGCTCTCCCAGTCCGGATCGCGGCTCACACTTGGCTGGAATGTGAAAAATTCAGACTGGATGCTCTTTCCACTGTTGGACAGACTAACTGCACAACAGCTTGGAAGCATTTTCATTGCCTTTGCTGTTGAAGCTGATGGTATTTCTGCCCCCTCCGACTACTGCTGTTGTGCAGAGCTTTTAATATGGTCTCTTTGTGGCACTGTGCCTGCAGCTCTGTTCTGTAAACTTTGAGCAAACATATTGTCCCAGTCTGATATTAGAAATAGAAAGCACCCATAGTGGAGTGATAAATACAATCAAGTCTTTCCAGATCAGTCATTCTCACGCTGGTGACTCTTTGCATCTTGCAACTTGATTCTTGGTTGGAAAAATAACTGCTGTTAGTTAGGTATTCATAAAAAAATAATCTTGTATTGCTCTTTATACAGAGTAAACAAATCTTTTGGATTCTGAACTGAAAGGATTTTTGAGAGCGTGCAGTCTGTGGAAATGTGTTACGTGGTAACTTCAGGCAGGCCTCCAGTTGTGAAATTGAAGCACTGATATGGTTTGTTTCTCTCGAGAGTTAAACCGGCTGTCTCCAGTGTCTGGCTTAACCACGGCGTTTCAATACTGGTCGCGTTTAACGACAAAACTCACAATGAAAAGACAAATTCACAATGGACAAGAGATGGTGAAGAACGTTTCTAGACTATCAGGTTGGACCCAGAGCAGTTTGAGTAAATCAGAGCTTCCCTCACTGCGTTTACAAAGCCCTGTTATTAAAACAGGGGACCCCCCGACCCCCCGAAAAACAGTGTCCCCAGGACAGGCCTATAAGCCTTCATCACAAGCGTCTGTGCCAGGCCCTGTGCGATAAAGGGCGCCAGCTCCCAGACATGGCCGAGTTTGGGTGTGCTCTGCTTTGTGCTTGGCGTTTAGGGCTACAGCTATGAAGTATGGGTTTACAAATTAAACGACTCGTTTGGTAATTAGCAGCAAATTGACCAAAGGAGCCCTTTCTAGCCATTTCTCGACCAAAACCTAGATGTCGACTTGGCGGGGTAGCTTGTTCCACACCCCCACCACCCTTTGTGTAAAGAAGACAGACACACACACACACACCCTTCTCAGTTTCAAATGCCCTTCTACACAGCTGCATTGCGTCTGCGTCAAGTCTGCTGATTTGCCAAAAAGAAAGAGAAAGCACCAAAGTAAGCAGGGAACGAGGCAAAGCTTTGAAGGCTCCAGCCTTTATGCTGCCACGGCTTGCTCACAGACGGACATTTGTTTAATGTGATCAATCCACACAGCCGGCGTGCTGGAGGCTAGGCCACAGTGCAAAAAAAAACCCCACTGATCCTGAGCAGCAGTGTTGCTGCACTGCATTAACCAGGAGGGGCGGGGGGGGAGTGCTGCAGTAGAAAACACTGCAGCCGGTCTCTGCATTACTGATGGGCTTGAGATCCCCAGACTGCAGCTCGCAGGCACACTCCTGCACCGGGGGGGGGGGGTTGGAGGAGGAGGAGAGAGCTTAGCGAAGGTGGCATCCGAAAAGGAAAAGATTTTTAAAAAAAGGGGGCCCAGACGGCTGTGATCTTCAGAACACAGGCCAGGCCGGGCTGGGCCAAGGTCCGGCACATCACCGCCACAGTCAGACTGAAGCGGTTGATGCGGGGGGTCTTGCACGGAGCGCGTGACTGACGGGGAGAGAGAGGCTCCTGGGCTCCTGTCCTGAGCAGGGCCGGATGTTGGTGTGTGCAGGCCCGGGGCACTTTCACTCCCGAATGTGCAGGAAGAGTAGGTGAACGCCACCTGAATGACGTCAACTGACATGATGCACTTTAAACTCTTCGAACGCTAAACCCCGTGATTGCTGGAGCGAGTCGAGCACCATCACTCCTCATCCTTCTGGTGTCTGGAACAGACGCTAGGAACTGCAGGGATTGATTTGGTGGTAGTGTACCAGGGCAGTAACCCTGTGGAATCAAGTCCAAGTTACTGAACACATTTCGGAACGCAGCGCGTCCTGGATCGCGGGAGAACAGGGATTAGGGGGTGACCCCTTTCCTCGGCGGCTCTCGGCCAGCTCATCCTGGCTCTGGTCCCGGGGACGCACTTAGGAGGGATTAAAAATAATCATCTATTCCCATAATGAGAAAACACTGCCTGGAGATGGACCATTGTCGTACAGTACACCTCCCACCCGCCATCAGCCTCCTTAAATCATCAGCGCATGATCCTGTGGGTCTTGCAGAACTGAAGATTCACTCACAGCCTTCAGGAAGGGCAATTTATGTCTGCGCATGCTGAAGCGGCTCGTCCTAGCTCATTCGTGCCGCTCGATGGTCACGAGAGAAGCCCGATTTTTCAAGTCTGCAGCCGAGTGATATTTATTCATATGCAATGAAGCATCACTCCTAACTCCTAACTTCTTCATCCAGTTCCGGGTCACAGGAGAGCCAGAGTCTATCCCAGCAAGCACCGGACACAAGGCAGGGTACACCTTGGGCAGGACGCCAGTCCATCACAGGGCCACACACAGACACAAAACAATCACAAGGACAGTAAACGCAGGACTTGATCCAAGTAAAGATCAACGCACTCAAAAGAGATGGTCCACAGACGCTGCCTGCAACTTTTCCCACAAAAGTGGATTTCTAGACGTCGGGGGGGAACTGGTGATAGCGAATAAAGTTGGAAAAAGAAGTCACCTCCTAGTGCTGAGTTGTAGCTGCAACAAGCACATTGCCGCTATTAAGGAAAACAAAAATGTTTCATGTGTCTCTTTTAATTCCAAATGATCTTGCTATTACAAGACAGTGGATTATCTTAGAATCGCTGTGCAGTTCCACAATCAGTATTAACACGAGGACACACACCAATTATAAAACAAGAAAGCCTGATCAAATCCACTGCTTCAAACTGAAAGTCAGCTAATGATAACGTAGGTATTAAATGATAAGGTACTATCCCAAAATAACAAGATCATTTACTCATAATCACAAGATGCACATAAAACGTTTTTTTTTTCCTCTGGATGGTAGTTTCCATAGAGCCCAATCTCATACTTCACAATTCGGTCTCTACAGGTGCGAGTTAAAATATTAAAATATTTTAATTGCTTCAGACAACTTCAACTTCTTCAGTGTTCCCAAGAGCTTTTAAGCAAAAGGCTCCAGACTGACAGCGCCGCCTTTTTCACACACTTTCAGACTCCATCAGTTCTGATCAGCAGCTTCACGGTCCAGCCTTCTGCCAGTCCTGAATTCAATACATGTTAATCGGACTTTCGGGTCCCCGAGGTAACAGAAAGACAATCGCCCACGTTGGCGGCCATTTAATTGGCTTCTCGTCTCATTAAGATCCAGCCGGAACCTTTTAATTTGTTTCCGACAAGGTGGGCCGTGTTCAGGGCATTTCCTGTCCAAATGCCCCCTCTCCCATTATGAAAAGCTGGTTATCAAGGTTTAAAATCTCAGCCCCTCCAGGATCACGCTGCCCGGCTCCATTTAATTGCTTTAGGCTAACGAGTCCCTAAGAAAATGAATGGCAAATTATGCAAGAGATTTGCATGGAACTAAGCCGTTTATGAGAATCCAGATTAAAGAGGCAACCATTTTTTGAAACAAAATCACTAATGAATGGACTATTTAATCAGCATGGATTACCATAAAATAGGACAGCGTTCTAGCCATGTTTGCAGTTACACATTTTCACTGTTTTGCTATTGTTCCTCTACTGGAATATTACTTCAACTACTTATTAATATTCATTATTCATCCATCCTTTATCAAACTGTTTTATCCAGTACAGGGTCTCAGGGGAGTCAGAGCCTATCCCAGCAAGCAAACAGTCCGTCGCAGGGCAGACTCACACTCACACTCACACTCACACCAGGTCCAGTTTTGGACTGTGTTAGGAAATCCACATCAACACAGGGAGAACATACGAACTCCACACAGACAGCACCCCAGGGATTGAACTGAACCCAGAGTCCCAGTTCTGGGAGGCAGCAAAGTTAACCACTGCGCCATAGTGCCACCCTAATATTAATTAAGTTTATAGTAATGAGTTACATTAATTACTATTAATATCTTACTGATGGTATCTCATTGCTCCATCTTTGAGCTTTTTTTTTTACTTTCATTCATTAATTGCCTTTCTTTCACACATGTTTTTCTGAAATGTAATGTAATGTAGAGACTTGTGTTGTTGATGTATTATACAGGACTGTACCCTGCTCAAATGTGTGTTAGCAATGTAGCAGACCAGTAGGGGGCACTCACTTAGTGGTCTGTGTGGGTCCTAATGCCCCAGTACAGTGACGGGGACACTATACTGTAGTAAGGATCTGTCCTTGATGAGACGTAAAACTGAGGTCCTGACTCTCTGTGGTCAATAAAAATCCCAGGGTGTTTCTTGAAAAGAGTAGGGGTGTTACCCCAGTGTCCTGGCCAAATTTCCCCCCTGGCCTTTACCCATCATGGCTTCCTAATAATCCCCATCTCTGAACTGGCTTCATCACTCTGCTCTCCTCCCCACTGAGAGCTGGTGTGTGGGGAGAGGACTGGGGCATCATCCAGGTGGGGCTGCACACTGGTGGGGGTGGAGGGGATCCCCATGACCCGTAAAGAGCTCTGAGTGGGGTGTCTGTTCCTGTCTCTCCCCGTCCCTGTGTCTGACCTGGACTCTCTCCCTCTCTCTCAGGGCTGTGGTATGTGGAGGCTCTGGAGGTGTCAGTGGGGAAGGTGCCCTCTGTCCAGGCCCTGAATGGATCCACAGTCCTGTTGCCCTGCACCTACAGTACCTGTATAGGCATTGAGAACCTCTACTTCAACTGGCACTTCATGGACAACGGCACAGAGAGAAAGGTGAGAGACACACATGGCTTACACTGTACATACAGGCTTCCTCAAGACCACAATACTGTCAGAATGATGTAATGTAGTATTATTACAACAACGAAACAGAAGGCACAAGTCAATAATAATTATAATAATAATTCTTTACACTTAGCACTTTTCTGGACACTCCACTTAAAGCTCTTTACAGGTCATGGGGATCCCCTCCACCCCCACCAGTGTGCAGCCCCACCTGGATGATGCTCCAGTCCTCTCCCCACACACCAGCTCTCAGTGGGGAGTTTAATGTAGTGTTATTACAGTACTGTAATAAATAATAAACAGAGACTTACTCTTCATTAAAGGGGCACTGTGTACAGCAATCCCTCATTATACGAGCTGTTGAAAACCGTCCTGGGTTGTAAACTCCCATTGGGGTTTTGGAATTGGAATTTGGAATTGGGTTCCAAAAATTCCCAAATGTTCTCTCAAACGCCACAACCTCACCTTAATACAGTGCAGAACAGCACTCAAGTCTGAAAACGATACAATTCCTGATTAACTCCTCGAGTTTCACGCCTCAGGTCATTAGCCGAGGCAGAAACAGCACGTACTGTAGGAAGACATTGCTCACACGTCTACACGTTTACAGTACAGTAATTACATCGCTCCAGTCATTAGCAAAAGCAGAAAAATGAGGTACTATCCTGTACTGCACGCACTTAACACACGCAAGCCTTTATTTTATATATATATTAAAAAAGTTAAAACATCCTAAAAAGAAGCCGATTCCCCCAGATAAGATGTGACAGTCTGTTCGCTGAGTGAAAAACCGGGGAGGAATTGTTACATCGCGTGGGAAGGAAAACTCGTACTGCGACCGCGGAAGAGAGGAAAGAGAGTCAAATTCCGACACGTCTCCGCTCTCTCTCCCTGCCTCCAGATGTGCGAGGCTGTGATCAAGGCCACCGGGTTCGAGCCCTCCGTGACCTACTACCACGACCGCGTGCGGTTCGTGGGCACCAGCCGCACCAACAACATCTCGGTGGTGCTGGAAAACGTGACCTTCGAGGACGAGGGCATCTACGTCTGCTTCGCCCGCAACCCCAAGGAGAAGAACCACAACCACAGCGCCAAGTACACCGTCACCGTGGTGTCCGAGCGTGAGTTCCCGGAGTTCTGGTGTGTCGGTCCCTGTTGCAGCAGCGGTGCACGTTTGGAAAATTTGGTCCTGCCCTGCGCCCTTGTGAGGGACTGGCGTCCTGTCCAGGGTACAGTCCCGCCTTGTGCAGTTGAGAGCTTCATGTCCACAGTTCAGTAATGACACCCAGACAAAGACAGAGCTGGGGTGCTGTCTGGGTGGAGTTTGCATGCTCTCCCCCATGTTCCTGCTGGGTTTCCTCCAGTTGCTCCCACAGTCCAAAAAGATACCGGTAGGTTAATTGGCGTCTGAGAAAAATCGGCCCTGATTTGAGCGTGTTTGTGTCTGTCTGTGCCCTGTGATGGACTGGTGTCCTCCCCAGGGTGTACCCTGCCTTGTGCCCTTTGCTTGCTGGGATAGACTCCGGCTCCCCCATGACCCTGAACTAGGTAGAACGGTTTAGAAAATGGCTGGAGGGTTTTCTGACTGAATGACGTGGCGCTGGTTTGTTGTTTCTCTCGCCCTCCGCCCTGAGGCAGTGCTGGAGGTGGACAACACCCTCACCGTCATGATCGCCTCCGCCGTGGGAGGGGTCATCGGCCTGATCATCGTCATCATGGTGCTGAAGGCGCTGATCCTCTTTATCATCTCCAAGACCCGCGAGAAGAAGTGAGTGGTTGGGGGGGGGGGGGGGGGGGGGAGTATTGATAGAGAGGGCTCTTTACACAAAGAGTTGTGGGGGTGTGGAACGAGCTGCCCAGCCATGCTGTTGAAGCTGATACCCCGCCTTCTTTCAAGTAAGGGTTGGAAAAGATATTTTGATCAATTAACTATTAAAAGCACTTTTATTTTGTAAGCTGTCTTAACTTCGTAGCTGCAAACCAAACTGGCGTCAGAAAGTCGCGCACACCCCAATACCGGCCATATCTGGCAGCTGGGGCCTGCAGCACGCAGGGCCTGACACAGACGCTTGAGAAGAAGGCTCTTGCGAGTACTCTGGGGTCTGTGGGGTAAACTGTACAAGCTCTCCGGTGCACAAAGAGTGGCGGGAGAGTGGAACAAGCTGCCTAGCCATGTCATTGAAGCCATGAGATCCTGGCATCAATTAACTACTAACGACCAATCGGCACAGATGGGCTCTTGTTTGTAACCTTTCTTGGCTTCTTCTGCTTCAGTTAGCAGTGCTAGTGACTTAGCCGCAGGGTGGCCCTTCCCAGGAACAGGTCAGAAAACGCAAAGCAAGAATCCCAGGGACCCTTCTCTAACAGCTGGCATTTTTGTTTTCCCTCTCCCTTCTCCACAGCAAAGAGTGCCTTGTGAGCTCCTCAGGGATTGACAACACGGAAAACGGTCTCTCCGGCTCCAAAGCCGACACAAAAGGACAGGCAAAGGCGTGAGGACGAGATCGCGTGGCCACACCGCATAGCTCAACCTAAACACGTATTATAACCACGGACTGTTTTCCTTTGTAAGAAGAAAAAACAATATTCATATATATATATAAATCTCTATTTTAAACTATGCTTGAGAAACGGGGTACACGCGATGTATCCTCTTAGAATCTGGGCTGGATAACACTCACCCCCACCGCCACCGCCACCCCCCCCGGTTTAATCTGCAACAAGCTGCTCCCGAATTGGACCGCCAGTCCGATCCGCGGTCCGGGTCAAAAAAAACTGAACCCGGCCAGATTCGAAGCGGGTTTCACACCGGGCGACAGGGCCCGGGTCACTGGGGCGGCTCTGGGGCTCCAGAAATGGCCAGAGAGGGGTATTTTCTTTTTCCTCCCCTGCCGTCGGAGGGTGCTGCAGTGAAGTCTGGGCGTTTCTGGGCCCAGAGTCTCGCGGGACGGACGAGGAGGAGACCGCATCGAGTTCCACTTCACGGCCCGCGGTTCTCTGAAGCATCCGACAGACGTCCCCCCTTCCTGAACACAGACCAGCGCGCGCCAGAGGCAGAGGGAAAGAGTGCTGATGGAGCTCCTCTCTCGTTTTGACGACAGACTCTTTTCCTCGCATTTAAAACATTAGTCCAGCGTCCCGATCGACGCAGTCAGACGCACTGCAATCTCGCCTGTGGTTTCCTCTCTAAAGACACATTTCTTGCCCGGAGGGAGAGCGGTGCTCTTGCAACATCCAGACACAGAAGAGGACTTCAGCATGAACTGGACGAAGTTGGCGGTTCGGTACCAATTGGACCTTGAGCGCCACCGTCTGGGGGGTTTTGTTTTTTTTCCTGATGCACAAAACAATCAGGAAGGCGATGAAGGGGAGGACGTTTGCTCGTCCCATCATCCTCTCTGAGGGAGGCGGCACAGTTTGGCTCCGTTGCGACTGGTCCAAAGAAGACGAGCAGGCGGCAGACGAAGCTGGCAGTGGCCTGAGCTGTTTGCCTACCGGGACCCCACCAGATCTGGAAACCGAGGACCCCAGCAGTCAGCTATCCCCTCACTCCCCCCTGCCCCCAGCAGCCCCCCTCGAGCACCCCTGCACCGCCAACCCATGTCGTCTTTCAAGGCTCAATCGTCAGAGGTCAGCACGAACGTGCAGCAGCCTACCCTGAAGTCTCCAATCGCACTCCCAAATTTCCGGCCCACTTCAATCCACATGGGAGAGGGGGTTTCATAAAGAGGCATTATCTACGGGGGAGTTCAGAATGCCAGAGCTCCTAACTCATTTTTATTAAGATAGCTGATTAAATATTAAATTATCTGATATATTTATTATTCATATCTGATATTAAGCTACTAGGTATAGTCATACAGCACATGCTATATATTGATGAAAAATACAGTAGCATAACGAGCTTTCCCAGCTGACCAGATATACATTGTGTCACTGGAAAACAAGCAGGGTGTCCCTCTCGGGTATTAGACACACACAGACTGACCCAGCTTGTAAATCAGGGAGTGTGTTGCCTTCCAAAGAGGAGAGAAAGAGTGGATTTCAGAAAGAGAGAAGACGCGCTTCCCAGGAGCAGAGATCGGTACGGACAGCTTTGAAGACTTATGGAAACCGAGACTGTCTTCCTCTTACGAGAAGATAGAAACAGGCTCCTTCTCTTTCACTGTCCGAAAAGGGAAGTCGGCCGAGAAAGTCAGTGCAGTCATCCCCTCTGGAGAGCTTACTGTCCGGACACTTCTGATGCTCGTATTGGGATCATCCTAGGAAGGGGGCAGAGCAGCAGAGCAGGGAAGTCTCTGGACTCTCACGTGGTTGGCTGGGGGTTCGAGTCCTCGCTGCACACACCCAAGTGAGGTTCTGTACCCCCAGTGACTCCAGCTGACCCCTGAGCTGTGTAAGTGAGGGGGGGATCTTCATTGCTGGCAGGTGGGGAAGTGATCCCTGCCCTGGACTGGTTGTCACGCTTGTAAACCCCTCCTCTTAAGGACGCTCCAGCCCTTCCTTGTTCTGTCCTCGTCACCTGCACCTGCCTCCGGTTCCTGCCCCCCGTCCTATAAAAGCCAGACGCTCACTCTGTTCCGCGCTCCGCACTGGTTCCTGTACCAGGCGAGTCTGGGAGCGCCTGGTCCCGGCAAGTTTATAACTCCTGTGCATGTTCCGACCCGGTTCCCGTTTTGAATCCCCTTTGTCTTCGTCTCGGATGGACTGCCTGGCTCTGGAATTTTGCCTCGTCTCGGATTCCCCTTTGGACTCAGTTTTGGACTGTCGGCCTCGGCCACACCTCCCCCGAACACCAGCGCCCCCTGTTCTCATTCCTGACCCCTGCATGCCTTTTTCCCCGTGTTTTCCTCACTCTACCCCGGATGGTGTCGTCTGCATAGGGTCCTGAAAGAACGCCTTTGTGACACTGGTGTCCCGTTCAGGGTAGGTGAGGGGATCGCGAGCTCTCCCCGCGGAAGAAACCAGGATGAGCTCTGGGCCCATGAGCTACGTTTCTCAAGAGAGGAGGCCTCTTTCCTTCGGACACATCGGCACCAAGGTGGAGACTCCACCTGCCACCCCTCCATCAGCCATGACGGAAATCAAGCTGTCAAACGCATTCGAAGACGAGGTGTCTGGATCCCCAGCGATCGATATAACACTGATTATTTGGAAAAAGCTGGCCCAAACGATTCCAGACCGGCTTAACCAAACTCGTCAGGGCTGTGGAAATGTACCGAAAGAGCCGTGCAAGCTCTGATCATCGAGTTTAACAACACTCCCGGAGCCAGCTACAGGAGATACACGTACCACTGTGCGTCAGTTACAACCGCAAACAGCCGAGAAGCACGTCAGGGCTGGAAAACAATATCGGCAGGATCAGCAAAATAGGAGAGGACTACTGCTCCTTCTTCATTCACTGCCACCGAAGCAACCACTGGAACGATCTGGGGTTGCTGTCTGGATGGGACTCGCAAAGCATTCTCATATTTGGCGCTGATCGAGCTGGGCGAATGAAGTGGACAATGGCGAGGAAGATGATGCAGAGCAGGAGGGATGGTCTTGACAGAACAAGAGGACTCCGTCAGGGAGGGCCAGGGGGGTGGGAGGGGGGAGTTCACTCAAAGGGGTGTGGGGGTGTGGTATAACATCCAGCCCAGAGCAGGTTTGATCCTCTTTGCTCGAGATGAACACGCGTGCCTGTAAACACTCTGGTCTCCCTCTGCTGGCGGGGAGTGCTTTAGTGCTAGAAGAAAATTAAATATCCGAAACCATAGAACAAACAAATCTGCACCCTAACCCAGGCCCTGTAAGAGAGAGGGGAATAAGCTGTTTAAAAGACACTGCTTCCAAAATAACCAATGCATTTTTTTTTTTAGCATGTGAAAGAACAGAGGGTTTTTGTTTTGGCATTAAACAGCTGTCACGAGGGGAAATCTGCTCTTTTCATGATCTCTCCCCCCCCTTGTGGCCTCCCCCAGCAGAAAACGCCGTCACCTCCCCCTGGCCAGTCCAGCTGGGCCACATCTGGGAGCTCAGAACGAACAGCACCTTCTCGGCTTTGCCTCTCTGTTGCAAAAAAAACAAAAGTTGTGTGAATGGAGTCCGACTGAAGCACTGGGGTTTGTACCCTTCATATTAAAATGTGTCCGGATGCCATCCGTCAATCAGAACATCTTATTTGGAAGGTATCTGGACAGAGTGAATATTGTAAAGACAGCTGTGAAAAACATAGCACAGCAAATGAAAAGAAACAGGAAACTGTAGAGTCTTCCAGTTGTCGTTCGCCGTTAATCGTGGGGTTTCAGTGTGAAATCTGGCCGCCTCGATTTAATCAAGGCTTAGTGCTCAAATTGGGTTTTAGGTGAGATCCCTTCGAGGGCAAATCTAAAACCCCCAAAAATCCCCAAGCATTCCCTTTTCAGGATCTGCCAGGGCCAATGGGCAACCCTAGTCCATTCAAGGGACAGAACTGCTTTAGGTTGGGAGCAGAGAGAGACAGCTGGTTTAAAAGACCAGAGGACAGTCGCTCTCATCAGATCTGAGCGGCAACCAGATAGAACTGCAGCCTGACTACAGGTCCCACAGTCCTCCTGCGCATCTGTCGTCCTGACCTGAAATGGCCCAACCTGGGGTAAAAGTAGCAGCAAATTGGGCAAAGCTGACTGATAAAGGCAATAGTAATAATATAATAATAAACTATTTTAAATAGCACCTTTAAAGGTGGCTTCTCAAAGCGCTTTACAGAATGACAACAACAATAAATAAAAAGAATACACAAGATAAAACAAAATTACAATATACAGAGGAGACCGTGGATGGTGGTACTAAGAAAAATAGGAGCAGAGGGGTGAAGAATGGAACCAGTTAAGTTAAGGTTTAACATTATCATTAGGGAGAGCCTGCCTTCCTAAAAAAACACAGTGCTAATAAAGTGGTACTACAGCTTACTGAACAATATGATGGCTGTATGTATGTATATATATATATTTATTTATTCACACTCCAGCAAAACCGAAATCGTGCTACAATATTTTAACGGCAATGCATGGAATGTAGACATTTTACTACTGTGTCCAATGGGCTGTGCTTAACGGCTTTCTGAAATTCCATGGCCATCCCTCTACCAATCGCAGTATGGGTTTTGTGCAGGTAAGAGCCCAAAGCCACGAATTTCCCTCAGGATTCATGTCCAGGGATTCAGAGGCAGGAGATGAAAATCTTCCCACTTCGGCCACAAGGACTTGGGGAGAAAGGGACACATCCTTTGAGGAAGAGCAGAATTCAGTAGGGCACGACGAGTTTGGAGAAGATTGTGTGTGTAGTGGCGGTTTTGAAGCTTTTTATTTTAAAAAGTCAGATTCAAACATACTGAGAACTAATTGTGCCATTATAACAGCTGTAAAATTCAAACAGGCCGAGGATTAAACCAGATTAAAGTGAGCACATCAAAACACCACCTAGAAGAAAGAGCAATAATGATCCTTTAAATACAGTACAAAACCCCAAATTATCAAAGGAACAGAAGGTATCGGATGAGGCTAGACAGGACCAAGAAACACCAGCAGTCTGAAACTGCAACAGCTCTTGTGATGCAAAATAATAAAATAATAATAATCCCGACCACCTTGACTAATATTTAACTCTCCCCACACACCAGCTCTCAGTGGGGAGGAGAGCAGAGTGATGAAGCCGGTTCAGAGATGGGGATTATTAGGAGGCCATGACTGGGAAAGGCCAGGGGGAAATTTGGTCAGGACACTGGGGTAACACCCCTAGTCTTTCCGAGAAACACCCTGGGATTTTTAATAACCACAGAGTCAGGACCTCAGTTTTACGTCTCATCTGAAAGACAGCGCCTTTTTAGTTATGGTGTCCAGTATAGCATTAGGACCCCTCACTGATAGCGGGGTGAGCGCCCCCTACTGGCCCCACTAACACCTCTTCCAGCAGCAGCCTCAGCTTTCCCAGGAGTCTCCCATCCAGGTGCTGGCCAGGCTCACACCTGCTGAGCTCCCGTGGGGCTGCCAGCTGCCAAGTGATACAGCTGCTGGCTAACGAAATCAGACTATTACAGTGACAGGACTCCTCAGGAATAGCGAGTGTATCCGTGTTCCAGCCTACATCGTCGCTGTTGGAGCAACTCCCTGACTGGACATCTCAGAGGCAACACAAGCCATAGCAAAGTCCCTGTGGCGACTCAATCACCTCCCAGTTTAAAATTCCCACATGGAAAATATCTGACCACACTGGCCCAAAACAGGTCCCATTAAAACAAACTTCCCAAGCAAAAGGCTGACACTCAGATCTTTAGAGCTCTATGCTTATTGGGCTAAATTAACAGATACAAAACCTTAAGCTAGAAGTCACAAACTAGAAAGTCACCTTGAGAAAAGTTTTGCCTTAAGCATAGAGGTATAGATTTAAAACTAGCAACACTCAAAACAAAGTCATAATTCACGGGTGGGAACCACGACTGGTAAATTGTCAGTTGCGCCAGGTTTTCTCAAGTGCCAAAACTGCATGCCCGGCAGTGATGGAGAACAGGGCCTGTTCTCTCTGAACGGTGCATGAAATGTTCCTGCAGCCGGGGTGCTGTCTGTGTGGAGTCTGCATGTTCCCCTCATGTCCATGTGGGTTTCCTCCCGCTGTCCAAAGACATGCTGGTCAGTTAACTGGCTTCTGGGAAAACTGGCCCTGGTGTGTGCATGTCTGTGTGTGTCCCGTGATGGACTGGTGTCCTGTCCAGGGTGTAGCCTGCCTTGCGCCCAGTGCTTGCTGGGATTAGACTCCGGCTCCTTCACAACCCTGTACTGGATAAAGCACCTAGAAAATCTAGGAGCTGCAGGGTGATGTAGCTGCTGGCAGTATATACAAGATTAGCAGAACAGGAATTTTACCAATGCTGCTTGTAATTTCTTACATATAATCTAAACAAATGAACAGTGAACTGGAGTGTCTTGCAAAAAAGTTATCCCCTTCCAATGATGTCAATGTTTGTAATTCACCAAAATGGGGCGTCTTTTGTCAATTAATATTTGTCAGCAGAAAAGAAGCAGCTCAAACGCAAAATCTAGGGGTGAAGGAAATGAAACGCCAGCAGAAACCTTTCGCAAGACGCTGATCCCCAACACACAAAGAGGCATTAAAAATGTTGGATGTTTTGCATTGCTGACATGCAATTTACAAAATGAAAAAAAAACCCTCACGGTGTGGTTTGTTCACACAGAAACCAACAGCTTTCTTGGGAATATAACAAGTTTCTGAAGCAGTGCCAAATCTTAGTCACCCACAGAACAAGCTTTCATTCGAGCTTTTCAGACAGATGCTGTGACAGACTCCCCCCTTAGCAAAAGGGGACCAGGGACCAAAGCAATTAAAATCTCTCAAGAACCGCAATCTTAAGGTCAAGAGGCTTGATTCAGAAATATAACAAGACTGACAAAGACTCTGGAGAGTGGTCCCAACCTATTCCCCCTGATACACCCCTTTATATACAGACTGCTGATCAGGTCCATGTAAGGATTTGCTGCTTGACTCTATAATAGAATAATAAGCTAACACACAGCCAATGTGTTTCTAGTGTTATACTAATCACCACCTTTCTTTTGTAGCTGCTCCCACTGTTGTTAGTTGTCGACTGTTTTCTGCCATTTCATCCTGCATTACCTTTCTGTTAACTTATTTGCCCCTCTGCCTTCCCTCTCAGTACTAAGTATTATTTTCAATTAGATTGCAAATTGAGGGGGACAGCATGGTGGTGCAGTGGTCGGCGTTGCAGCACCCCAGTGCTGGGGGTTCAGGTATGGACCTGGGGTGCTGTCTGCGTAGAGTTTGCACGTTCTCCCCAGGTTTGTGTGGGTTCCCACCCACGGTCTAAACACATATTGGCCAACTGTAAGTTAATTGGCTTCTGTGAAAACAGGCCTTGGTGTGAATGTGAATGATTGTGTCTGTGTGTGACCTGTGATGGACTGATGTCCCCATCCCAGGCGTACCCTGCCTTGTGCCTGCTGCTTGCTGGGATAGACTCCAGCTTCCCCATGACCTTGAACTGGAAGAAAATGGATGAAAAGTAGTTTCACATTTCAGTCTTATTACATTAACGGCCTGTGCAGCACCAGGCTCTGTGGAATCGCCCGTGTTGAATTAGCTGCAGATTTGCCTCCCACTAATACCACCCTGCATTTTTCGGCAAAGCAGGCGTCACAGATGTCTAATATTTAAACCAAATAACACTAGGTTTAATGCCAACTTTTGCATTTATGCCCATCTGGTTGGTGTAATCATATAATCCAAGATTTAAGCTACATTTTTAAACCCTTTCTGAACTCTGACCAAAAACCGTCATGTTCATAACAGTGCTGCAGGCAGAAGAGGACATACAGCAACTGACTTATTCGCAGATCTCAACTTCTAAGACACAGCAGCGAGTTCCCAAAGGACAGAACAAACTCGACTCCCAACCCTAGTCCAAGGAGATCAGCGTGTCTGCTGGCCCAAGTCTGCACCCAAGCTGGAAATAAATCAGTGCTAATGAATGCCCCTAATTGGCAATTGACCTGCTGGCATGTTTGATTATACTTTATTTGCTTGGTTTCTGCACAAAAAAAATGACCTGCATGAAGTATTGTTTGGAAATCAACAGTATTTAGTATTAGGGGGATAGTACGCACAGTGATTTTGGAAACTAGCATACACTTGTGGACTTCTTGACTCTTGCAGATTAACAAGTTGAGAAAAGACTGCATAAAAACCGGTGTGCTGAAGGTGATGGAAATTGTGCCTATTAACTAGGGCGTTTTGGAAACCAAGGACTGGGAGCCGAAAAGACTAAACCAGCAAACAGATCAGTTACAAGTGCTCATTAGCTCCAGTGATGTAGTGTCCATTTAGAACAAAGGACCAACAGACACACGAGTCCCTTATATCCAGGAATGAGTATCGCTTAAAAGAGCCCTTGGGCTGCATTATAACCCATTAGGTAGGTTTAAAATCAGGCCCAGCCTGGTGTTTTTACTTCCTAGCTTGACGGGGATCAGACAGTCTTCATTTCACCCAACCTCGACTCTGACCCCCTGCAGAAAAGGAACCAGCAAGAACTTTTTTTTTTAATTAAAAAAAAACTTTATTGCACTTTCAATCTGAAGACTTGAAAACACCACCGCGTGCGCACAAAATAAATCCTTCGTAACAGTTACAAATCTCACACATAAATAAAACAAGTTAAAACATGAAGGGGAAAAAAAAGCTACAAACCGGCATTTTTACAGCAGCACAGAAACGCAATGTGGTTCTTGAGAAGGACAAAACAAAACTAAGTTACAGTAACGATAATGGCACGATTTTAAAAGTCCACTCACAAGGAGCGCTGGAATTCAGATTCATGATGATCACATCAAGAATGGAGTGTACGAATCCTTCATCCCGGAAGCCTTTGTGGCTTTTCAATCCGACAGCAGGTCTCTTAACTAATAAACCCTTGAAAACGCCCACAGGCCAGCCATCACTGAACGTCAGCAGAGTTCAAGAGGACTACCATGCACACCCAAGTCAGCATCACTGTTCCCTGAACAGACCGTGACAATTGCCCATCTAGGTCACATCCACAGAAGTTTAAAAAACAAATCAAGGATCACAGTTTACCCCCCCAAGGCCTGTGAGACCGTATCTCTCCAGGATCAAGAGTCCTGCAGATTGAGATCTCGGAGAGGAGCAGGATACAAACAAACATTTGCATCTTAAAAGTGCCTTCCCAATGAACGTTTACCATAGTAAAAGCTTCTTAGCAATTCTGCGCCTGGATTTCCTGACCTCAAATCGAAATTCTTCCTGCGTTTTCCCTGACTCCACAGTCAGCAACGGGGGACTGTCTATAATAAACACTGACGGGGGGAGTGCAAAACCTCATTCATTAAGGAATATTCCAGAATCGTAACGGTGTAGCGTTTCATAACGAAACCCAGGAAAAGCTTTGCGGAAACGAGGCGAAAGAGCGCAGAACACGCAGTAAAGCTATAAGTACAGATGCAGACTGCAGCGCTTAACAGGGCTTTAACAGGGCAGGAGCTCACTGTGCAAGTTTCAATAAACGTCCAAACTCCGGCTAACCCCCCCTCGGTGTCAGGACAGTGCAGAAACGTCCACCCCCCAACACTTTTAGGAAAAGTGCCGCTCGCTTTCGGTTCACTCACCCACTTCATTCCCAGCGACTCTGGTGCAAAACAAAACAAAGAGTCCCACAAGTGACAGCGGCATCACTCCACTCAACTTTTTGAGAGCGGCGCCAAACAGGAAATGACGCAAAGGACACTTCCTGGAGACGGCAGGAAGTGGACTGAGGTACATCAGCCAGTTTAAAAAAAAAAAACAAACTAGCTTCCGGAATTGGAAACGAAACCGAACGGGGAAATTAAACCACGAATCGAACAGTGATCAATTGATTAACGGGCTGCGAGACTTAAAAACCCTCACAGTTACTCTAAGGTCTTTGCCAGGCGCGGAAACGCTGTCTGCTGTGGAGTTTGTTTGCTTTGGGATTATGCGCAAGGTCATGGTTACTGCCCAGCCGTGCTGGCGTCGGTAATACACTGCATTCAGTATTTCAAAAGTACACAGAAGTAGGCACTGTGGCATAGGGTGTTGATAGATCAGCCCGGCCTAGAGGTCCAGGGTATTTTCAGTGAGATTTTACAGTCCCCTCTCCCTAACTTAACTGGTGTGGAAATCCTATCAGTGACACTTTTCTCCCGTAACTACCCGTGGAGAAAAGTGTCACTGAAGTCACGCCGTTATCCAGTCATTCAAGTGCGTTTCGTGTTTCTGATGAGCTCGGCCCAAGACCTGCCACAAGAATTCCCACAGGTTGTTGCAAATTGTATTTTGAAAAGGTGGGAGTGGAGTGCTTTCTGTGCATGCCCTTCTTAAACGATTTTTACCCAGTCGCAGGTGCTGCGCTGGCGATCCGAGATTCGGCGAAATTAAGACCGAACTACGCATCGCCCGTTTAATTAAAATGCAGACGAATAAGCAAATAAGGCTGAGTTTCAGGTCAAACTCCTAAAAATGAAATTTCGGTTCAGTCCCTAAATTGTGCTCTGAATCACTGCACATTTCCTTCGAATAAATATCGCTTGTTAAAAGATAGTTGCACCCAGTTATACACGCATACATTAAGAATTAAGTTAAGAGCACAAAGCACCAGAATTGCATAAAAACAGTAATAAAAATGTAACTGCATAAAAATGGTAATAAACTCTTTTTGCTTCCATTCAGTTAATGAGGTGAGAGGCTCAGGCGTGAAATGCTTCATTAGGACAGTGGCTCCCAATCTTGATCCTTGAGACTCCTGGTTTTCGTTCCAGCCCAGCTCACATACACACTACTACCTTTAATTGCCCTCAAAGGAGGATTCATTTGAACTTTGACCTCTTAAACACACTGGAAGGGCTTCTTAACTATTGCACTTCTTAACAGTCCCAGACTTTGTTAAAAACATTCCAATCAAGCTCCATTTTGAGTTCAATCAGGTAACTTAAGCTGGGCTGGAACGAAAACAGGTGCGGACCACCAGGAGCAGGATTGGAAGCCCCTGATTGAGCAGCGCCCCCCCCCCCAGAGGTAATGGCCAGAAAGCCAGCTGATGGAGGCTTCAGGGAACCACGGCTCACAGGGTGAGCCAAGGACTACAAGTGAGTCCGGAAAAAAAAAAAATGCCCTCCTGAGATGAAAAGTATTTTGAATTGAATTCATGCAAGCCAACATGTAAACTGTGCAAGAGACATCCCTGGTGTCACCTATATGAAAGTTCAGTACTAGAGGTTTTTCATTCATAGACGAAAATATGCAAAGTTAGGGTAAGGTTCAATTGCATGTTGGGATCAAGAAACCAGTTAGCGTCACAGGTAAGCAGGAGTGCATGTTTGAAGGGATACCTGTGCAGGTATAACTTTTTCCATTAAAGAAAGAAAGCCCCTACAGTTTTGTTCTTGTCACTGGTGCTTCTTGAATAAAGATTACCCAGCATCCCCCTGCAGAACAGCATGCTGGGAGAGGACACACGTACACACTTCGATTCCTTGTTGCAAATTCATCCTTGCCGTCTCGATCTGTCCTCAGCAGCAAAGCTCACTGGTTTTTCTGAAAAGAGAAATGTTTGAAAAAAGGAGTTACTTCTTGACGCTCAGCACACAGGGAAGCAGACCAATTCCGTTTATACTTTTCTGGCGGACACTACATGCCATGCTTCCGATCTCGGTGAGGATTCTGGGCCTGTTGGCAGGTTAGCAGTGTTGTAACACTGACATGCCATAGCCCATTCTGGTCAGAAGGGGGCACTGTCGCTGCACAAAAATATGCACGCTTCTATTTCTATACTGGAGAGAGCCACACATAAGTTCCAATTCTTCATTTCAGTCACTATTGCCAACAGGTAGCGTCATTAATATACTGAAAACTTCACTACACATTTAACAGGCCTGTCTTGTGACCAGGTTGCCAAAAAAAAAAAAGCAGTTTATAGTGGGTCACCTCCATGTTAACAATTTTGACCTGTTCGGTGATTACCCACAAATTCAAATGCTTGAGTGCAGCATAGTCAGTGTCAGGGGTCAGAGGACAGCTAGCCCTCTCCGAAACAGGCCAACTTTCAGAAACACCAAACCCCTAGGGGGAAAGGCCGAGTCTGCAGTTATAGATATCCCAGCCAAGCAATTTGAGAACACACGATCCTCTATAACAGGACGTGTGTGTGTGCGCGAGGAACAGACATGAGAACCGCTCTAAAAATCCCAGCATGCCACAGTAGTGAAGTACTCTCCCAGTTGGTGCACAGCACTGCAGGGGCATCCTGGGATATACCAGAGGACTCCAACAGCCTTCATGTCCGTTTCTTGGTGGTGGGGGAGGGGGGGGAGAAGCAGAAGAGCTGGACTGACCTCCATGACCACGTGGATCCAGTTGAGGAAGCTCTGCACGTTGCTGTACACCCCAGGCCGGTTCTGCCGGGCACAGCCCACGCCCCAGCTCACCACCCCCACCAGCTCCCAGCTGCTCTGGAAGTAGACCAGGGGTCCCCCGCTGTCCCCCTGAGAGAGAGAGAGAGAGCGCATCAGTATTTACCCACAAGATGACTGAAAGGCAAGTGTGTTGTGGGTGTATCAGTCTTGCCAGCAGGTAAATCATCCTGCAGCCCCACTGAAGCTCAGCAGGTGTGAGCCTGGTCAGTGGGAGGGAGACTCCTGGGAGAGGTTAGTGGGGCCAGTAGGGGACGCTCACCCTGCGGTCTGTGTGGGTCTTAACGCCCCAGTATAGTTACGGAGACACTACACTGTAAACAGGCGCCGTCCTTCACATGAGACACAAAACCGAGGTCCTGACTCTCTATGGTCATTAAAAATCCCAGGGTGTTTCTCGAAAAGAGTAGGGGTGTAGCCCTGGTGTCCTGGCCAAATTTCCCCCTGGCCTTTCCCAGTCATGGCCTCCTAATAATCCCCATCTCTGAACTGGCTTCAGCACTCTGCTCTCCTCCCCACTGAGAGCTGGTGTGTGGGGAGAGGACTGGAGCATCACCAGGTGGGGCTGCACACTGGTGGGGGTGGAGGGGATCCTCATGACCTGTAAAGAGCTCTGAGTGGAGTGTCTGGAGCGTGCCATGTAAGTGTGAGGATAGTAGCAGTAGTGTGTCAGTGCAGTGTTGCCTCCTGCATCATCTAGGCAGCCTAGCTTCTGTGAAAATGGGTCCCGGGGTTCATTTCCTGGAGAGCTGTCCATGTGGAGTCTGCATGTTCTCCCCATCTACACATGGGTTTCCTCCCATAGTCCAAAGACATGCTAGTGGCTTAATTAGCCCAGGTGCGAGTGTGTGCTATATGCTGGACTGGTGTCCCATCCAGGGTGTACCCTGCCTTGCACCCATTAGTTGCTGGGATAGACTCCAGCTCCAGGGAGAGGGGATACCACCGTGTTTTACACTAGCGTGTCACCACCTCGGCCTACACCGGTAACAGGATATGGTCATCTCTACCTGACACGCGTCCACCTTGCCCTCCAGGTAGCCTGCGCACAGCATTCTGGGAGTGATGGCACTGCCATACACGCTGGACTGGGAGCACCGGGCCCTGTCGATCAGGGGCACGGTGGCCTGCTGGAGCACGGTTGACACCTCGCCTGCGAGACAGAGAAAGGGGCTCTGAGAGCAAGCAAGGGTGCGAGAGGAAGAGATCTCGGCAGCAACCAGGGCAGGAGAGTGGAGCCTGTAAACTGGACAATGGCACTCATGGAGGTAGTGGTTCTCTCCCACAAACCCACTTACTTGGAGTTACACCAGAAATACTGAATATGTCTCTCGCAACACTTTTGAAGTAGTTTGTCATTAAAAGGCTCTTTAGAAACCGAATGAAGCTCAGGTTTAAGAGCCTCGGGTGGGAGCAGGATGCACAGTTTCATTAGAACTTAGCCAAGGGGGCGCCTGCGCAAAGGCCTGTGGGAAATCTTGCACGGTATTTAAAAAAAAATGCACATCACAAAGTCCGAGGGGTGGGGCAATGATCAAAAAGAGCAACAGGTCAGTCTTAGTACATATCCTTCAATGGCACTAGGGGCTAGTTTGTCAGGGTGCTGCTAGTAGGCGCTTTCGGGGAGGCATGAGCGAAAATGGAAGAAAGAAGACGAATGATGTTGGGGGGTGCCCTACCTTTCTCCACCCGATAACCCCAGCCTGTCACCCACAGAGGGGCCTGCGAGGGCAGCTCCTGATTAAACGCGGGCAGGCACACGGGCCGACTGGTGGCTGCAAGAAGAGAGACGCGCACTGGTCAGCGTCCGCGCAGTGCACCCTGGGAAGGAGCATCCATATCCCACAGTACACCGGGGGTTCTGAAGTACATTCAAGAATGCCCTCCCACTTCCTGCTGGATAAATCATTCGTCGAGCCTGTGCCATCAGCTGCACATTCAGCCTTTCAAAGTTAACCCACAAGTTATTTACTGATGCCCTTTTTTGACAACAAAGCTACTTGACATCTAAAAAATTCCCTCCCGTATAATTCTTTCAAAGGGTTTTAAATAAACTTTTATTTTTTTAAAGAAAAGCAGTGCAAGTTTTGGAACAGCAAAGAAACTGACATTCCATACCTTTTGATCAGAAAGACAACATATCAATAGTGCCTAGCCAAAGTGACGAATTTCACTTCACTGTCCCAATACACACAGTTTTCACAGTACCTTTGACACTACATTGTGCCCCAAGCTGCATGTTCTATACAAGCTTTTCAGCATACATCAAGGAACAGCAGTAAATTGTAAAATGCTTACAGAAGGACATGTCAATGTGACACTGAAATATTTGTATTTAACAGGGTGCACTGCATACCCCAAAAACCCTTGAATTTGTGTACTGGATACATGCTTACAATCCTGCTCATTCTCAGAGTGTGTGGAGGATAATGGGATTAAGGATGACTGCAAAACCAAAGTGCGACCACCATAGGGGGAGGTCTTGGAGAAGCCCATTGTCATCTCCAGTGCCTCTGCTGGAGATGTCAAGATGGAAGACACTTGCTTGGGTTGCCAACGAATTAGCTGGGTTTCTCCAGAATCACCTGCTGGCTTCCATCCTAAAAGACGGTGGGAATGGAGCGCGAGAGAGAAATTTAAAAAGCTACGGTACCCGAGACTTGGACTGGAGATGACAGCCTCATCATGGCGATATCGTAGTCGCTGATGTAACTGTTGTACTGGCCGTTGACAATCACCTTGTCCACTGACACTCCTCCAGTGAACCCCAGGGACGTCAACCCTGGATGCACACTCCAGCGGCTGAGCACGTGCTCTGCCCTGGAGAGGGAAAAGGACCACCAATAAGAAACGGCTCTAAAAGCTTTTTTTTTTTTTTAAACTTATGATAACATAAAATGGCACTGTGTAAGGACAGTCAATTCAGACAAGATGGTGGATTTTGGCTGAACTACATTTCCCAGAAAGCTACGGGGGAGGCGCCCTGCCACCCCCCCCCTCCCCTTTTGTCAGGTGACCAGTTGGAAGAAGGCAATTGGCCTGATCATTTCAAAGACCAGGAAATGGAGGCACCAATGCTAACCAATTTGCCACCATACCACGTGCTCTCCAAAATGCTTTCCTTGTATTTACTTTATTACTAAATGGCAAAAAAAAAAAAAAATCTACAAGGCTGCTTTGTTGTTAATGGAATGCAAAGGAATCTTAACGTCGGTTTTGTCTGCATGAAGCCGTTCCTCAGGCTAGTAAAATCCTCCTCGCTGTCTTAAAGTCAGCCGAGAGGCCTCGCTCTGCACCATGCTCACCGGGGGAAGCAGTGGGCGGCGGTGACCACCCAGCGCGGAGCGATCAGAGACCCGCCGCAGGTGTGCTGCTCGTTGAACTGCAGGCTGACCTGCCAGGGCCACTCCTGGATGGTGGCGTCTGAGCCCCCCACGATCCGGTCCTCCGAGGATCGCTCCCCGCAGTCTGAAACGCACAGCACGGGGCTTAGACACGCGCGCGAGGCCCGCAGGGGTCCACTTCCTGATCAGATCCTACAGATCGGGCGGCACAGCGGTCCCTATTGGTGCTGGGCGCCCTGGGTTAATTTCCTGGAGTGCTGTCTGTGTTGAGTTTGCATGTTCTCCCCACTAATCATGTGGGTTTGCTCCCTCACTCCAAACATAGTGGTGGGTTAACTTGGCCCCTAGTGTGCATGTTTGCATCTGTCTGTGTGTGTGCCCTACAATGGGCAGGTGTCCCACCCAGGGTGCCATGTGCCCACTGCCTGCTGGGATAGGCACTAGGTCCCTGCAACCCTGTACTGGATACAGGGGCTAGAAAATGGAAAGATGGATGGATTCTACAACCCAGTCTTGCCCAACACCTACAGCCTATTGCTCTGCATGTCCAATATACTACAAGGATGCCCAGTCCTGGTCCTGAGCTGAGGTCTCTGCAGGCTCTCTGTCTAGCTGGAAACTTAAGCCAATAAGGTGAATCAATTAATGACTCAATCCAGATTAACAGTTTACCCAGGCTCTTCAGATGCAAGTGCCTCTTAACAAATCCTGCAAAACCTGTAGGCACACCAGGCTCTCCAGAACCAGGATCGGGGATCCCTGATCTTTTAGGACATGAAACTCAACCTACAGAGTTTCTACATAGAGTACCTCTGCCATATCACCTCCTTTACTGCAACCAGACTCTTCGATGTGTTCATGGCTTTTCTACATGACGCCCGTTTCGTTACATTTGTGATTTTAGTGCAATTTTGACAAAATATTTGCGTCTTACCTGAACAGGTGAGAGAAATGACCATGCCAGAAGAACAGACCGTGCTGAAACAGAGGGAGAGGAGGAAGCGCATCAGTAATTGAATTCCAGTGCAATGGCCGTTCTGAGCTATTACTGTAACCATGGGCGATATCTATCCAACTTGCAGACCAAGGAGAGAAGAGAGAAGCACTGATGGACCCAGACAGATTCCCGAACATCCAGCTAAGACTGTGGAAGAGCGGTTTCCAACCCTGCTGCTGGAGCAATACAGTCAAGCTGGTTTTCATTCCAGCTGAGCTCTACATCAGGACTTGATTGACCTGCTTGTTTATTCAGCCAGTCCTGTCTCGCTGTAAAAGAAGAATTTCACACAGCTTCTCCTCAACTCACTGGCCATTATCTCTGACAAAATAGCTCTTACTAGTTGATTATTTGATAGACATAGTGGAGGCAGCTGACAGAAAGGCCGAGAACCAGTCGCAGAAGACGAGAGGGGCAGACAGTCGGAGATAAATGGGCAGTACCGGTCAGTGACTAAATCCTGGATGAGGAAGGCTCCATTTGGGTCAGAGGTCATCAATCCACCAAATGCCTGATTGACAGTCAGGGGCACGGACTCCACAGGCTCCAAGCTACTGCTGGGGTTACTGAGACACAAGGGGGGGGTGGGTGGGAAAGAGGAACAGATTTGACCAACTTCAGGAAACCTGCTGCAATGCATTAGGTTCTCAGTCTTGCACCCCACGTGTCCCGTCACTCACTGAGCTGGCTGCCACCAGCTTGAGGTCACACACGTCCACCGGCAATGAGGTCCCCTACAGAGCACAGCGCGGTGCATTTGGGGGAAACGCCCCCAGGTGCTTGAGCACAAGCCTGCGCCTCACCTGGTGTAGCCCAGCTGCTGGCACGCCTGCTGGGTGTGCTTCGGCTGCCATCCCTCGGCACATACCAGCCTCCAGGAGTCCGATCTGCTGTCGTACACCTGCAGCAAAGACCTGTTGGACACCAGTCTCACTGCAGGGAGAGGGGGAGGAGGAATGAGCATGCAAACCTGTCTAATGTGTGTGTGTGTGTATATATATCAAATTAGTCTCATCTATATATATGGGCGGTGCAGTGGTTCTGTGGCTGAGGATTTGCGCCTGTGGCTGGAAGGTTGCCGGTTCATATCCCGTGGCCGGCAGAGGAATCCTACTCCGTTGGTCCCCCTAAGTAAGGCCCTTAACCCCAAAAAACCAGTTCCTGGCTGACCCGACTGTGAAGGGCTCCGAAAAACAGTTGCAACAATGGCAGCCCAGCCCTCTACCACTCGTTGTGTAAAGGGCCTCCCATTTCACTTCCTGAAAATGTCTGTCCAAAGGCTTAAATAGGCTCCTGACAGGGCCTTTGCCAGCCTTCTGCAGGGAAGGTCCAGACCAAAGAAACATGCTACTTTCATACAAGAAGAGAAGGCAATGAGTTGACAGTCTTTCGGGATCACGCTGCCGCCCGAGATGGAAGGGCGGAGAAGGGAAGGCAGGGATACCTGGGAAGATGACGGTGACCGTCAGGTTGGACACGCAGGACAGCTCATCCTCCCCCCCGGCGCAGTCCTCTATCCCATTGCAGGCCGAGGACAGGGGGATGAACTTGAAGGACGTCTTGCAGAAGAGGTACTTGCTGTCGACCAGACGCTTGACTGCGGGCAGAGGGGAGGGAGGTGTGCGCGATGAGAGAGAGAGAGGAGGAGAGAGAGAGGGCGGGCGGGCTGGGAGACGGAGGACGGAGGGCGGCACTCACCGAAATAACCCCCGGTGGCCAGCAGCCCCAGCACCGTCAAGACGATGAGGGCCGTGATGATCCCCCGCCTCCTCCGGGCCTTCTCCTGCTGGGGCGAGCTGGCCGTCATCTGTGCCCTGACCCTGCGGGGCTTGGCCTCACCTGTGAGACACACACACACAAACACAGAGCGCGGGTGAGACCCGTTCGAGAACTCCAGTCAAAACCCGGTTCCGAACTGCAGGGAGGGGACAGTCAGAACATCAGGGCTGGAAGACCTGGAAAATAAGTTTGCGAGCCCCAGAGTGATACAACTTTGTACTACAGAGACTGGGAGACCGTTTCAGGGAACATGTGAGGGCTGTGAGGGTCAAAGATCTCAAACCCATTGCACCTCTTACGGCCATGAGCATACTGATCTCTCCGCCTGCGTCCCTGGGGGGGGGGGGGGGTGTCTCGAAACTGCTATTAAAGAAAGACGCCCACAACCAAACTCATCCAGAAACTAGGATCACACCTTCCCTCTTCGCTCAACCTATAACAGCCCAGTTTCTCAGAGTAACCCTCACACTTTAGAGTTTTAAGTCGTGTTAAATGTACTGTATATTGCATTTTGGCCTATACTTGCCTGCAAAGCGCCATTTCTCATCTGGGACACTAAAGGAAGAAAGAAGTTCTGCTTTGTCCTTCCAGATAGAGGATCAATACGAGACTGATCATTCGCTTGGTGCTTTTACAGTCTTAACCGTTTTTCCCCCAGACTGTGGGACTCCTAAATTGGACTTAATCCAAGCTCCTTCTTTTAAAACAGGGTGACATTTTCAATGCGTTTATGAACAGTACTTTTAACGTTGCTGAAGCTGCAGAGCAAAAGAAAACCCTCCTCTTCCAGCATATTCCAGCCAGGCTCACAATCGGCTTCAACCTGCTCATTTCCAGGAGCTGTACAGCTTAATCAAGGGCTCATCTCGCGCTGGGATCGCACACAGGACTTCAGACAGGCCCAGAGCAAAGTTTGACGGTGGTCACTCGGTTTCAACAAGAATATTATTCATAGTAAAAGTATGAGAATTGAAAGGCTGGACAGCAACTCACCTGAGAATTGAGACGGTAGAACGTTATGAACACTAAAGCTGCAGACAACACAAAACTGAACGTCCCAGGTGTTTTAACCTGCTTGTGTGCTTCCAACCAATAAAAGAACTATGAAACAGAAGGCTCTTAAAAAAAAAAAAAAAAAAAGACTCTGCATTTACAATGCTGATCAGACCAAGGGTTTGAACCTCTCAGAGCACCTTGCTCCACAGCTCATTAGCTCTCTGGTCGCTACAGGTCTTGGTTCAGATTCAACAAGGAAACACATCTTTCACCCCCGGCCTCAGAAATTCAGTCTGCTTGAGGGAGGGATCGGACTGAGAAGGAAGTGAGGGAAAGCAGCCGCTTGTTCGGAAGCCGGATCTCGCACAGAGGAGAGGTCGACATCCAGCCCAGCTGGTCCGACAGGTCGTTAATAACTAGCCAATTCCAGGATTGCACTGTGCCACTTCTAGAAAAAAGCCAGGGGTGGTGGTGGTGGGGAAAATCGAATTCAACAACATTTGCTGGGCAGCTCGTTCCACACTCCCACCACCCTTTGCGTCAAGCAGTACCTTCCGTCCTGACCGGAGGATCTCATCCTGCCTCGTGAAAGGAGCCAGAGGCTTCGACAACATGGCTGGGCAGCTTGTTCCACACTCCCATCCCCCCCCTTCTCAGTTTTAGACACACCCCTGGCCCCATTTACACCAGCTCTTAAATGACTGCCACTCAACCACCCCCTGCAAAAAAAACAAAAACAAAGAGTGGTGCGAGACTCACCTGAATTTGCAGGGTTGAGGGGCTGCCTAACCTCCACCGGGGGCTGCTGGGCGGCTTTCTTTTGCTGCAGATGGAGAAAGAGTGCGTCAGCTGCTGGTCGCGCAAGGGGCACCCCGACAGGGCCCCCCCATCGACGCCCACATTGACATAGTAGTCTCCCAGATGCACGCAAAACAAGCCCTCTTTCTCAGGAGAGGGAGAGAGTGCGCGACTGGGCAGCGCTGGTAGTAAATATTTAAACCTCGCAAACAACCCTCCCCTCTTCACCTTTGATCACAAGCCCAGCCCTGCATGTTCGCAAAGACTCCCACTTCCTGGTGCACCTCCTTCTCCCGATCCGGATATACGGCTCCTGGCTGGAAAGCAGGAAGGGCTGCCCTTTGGGATGAGCTCCAGGGGATACATTCACCCGGGACCAGGCACCGGCATTCCGAATGCTGACTTCAAACATCCTAGGGGATTCGATGATCAAGACCGATTCCCGCAATGCCAGTAATGTACTGTACCAGTAAGCCAACTCACTGATTTTGCACATTTACATTTTATTAACCCACTGGAGCTCAGCAGTGTGAGCCTGGCCAGTACCTGTATGGGAGACTCCTGGGAAAGCTAAGGCTGCTGCTGGAAGAGGTGTTAGTGGGACCAGTAGGGGGCGCTCACCCTGCAGTCTGTGTGGGTCCTAATGCCCCAGTATAGAGATGGGGACACTATACTGTAAAAAATAAAGCTAATGTGCAGCCCCACCTGGATGATGCTCCAGTCCTCTCCCCACACACCAGCTCTCAGTGGGGAGGAGAGCAGAGTGATGAAGCCAGTTCAGAGAGGGGGATTATTAGGAGGCCATGATCGGGGAAAGGCCAGGACGCCCGAGTAACATCCCTAGTCTTTGAGAAACGCCCTGGGATGTTTAATGAGCACGGTTTTACATCTCACTGTAAAAAGGATGGCACCTTTTTACAGTATAGTAAAACTAGAACCCACACAGACCGCAGGGTGAGCACCCCCTACTGGCCCCACTAACACCTCTTCCAGCAGCAACCTCAGCTTTCCCAGGAGTCTCCCATCCAGGTACTGACCAGGCTCACACTGCTGAGCTCCAGGGGGGCTGCCAGCTGGGAGCTGCCGGGTGACAGCAGCAGCCACAGTGACTTCTGGAGATTTTAGTCATTTTGACAGAAATTATGGCATCTGCATATAAGCTATTGCAGCTGTGGGGTCCCTTACAGAGCAACCCATCATTAAAAGATCCTTCTGAACAAGAAGGCAGAGTCAGTGAAGTGTTTAGTGTGAGACTACTGGAAATGCTTTCCAGCTTCATCTTAGTCTCTGGATCGCTCTCAACTTTAACTTGATTGTGTTCGTATTTGTACTGTTACGTTCCATAAAACCAATTAATCATAAAGAGAACCATTTTCTAACCATTAAGTGTAGAAGACTCTCTTTCAGGTTTACATGAAAAATTGTGTTTCAGAACCATAACCACCACTCTGCGCAACCTTTATATGGCAAACAAACGGGAATGAAGCCCCAAACCTAATATACAAACTATCACCCAGTGAGTTCGTTTACAAACAGTGACTTTGGTGGTCTCTAGCGACTGGTCGCTGTAATTGCATCCGTTTCTTCGTCCCACCTGACAACAGTATCTGCGCCTGAGGGTGCTTTTACACAGCCGATAAAAAGCAGAAAATACCGTACCGACAGACAAAAAAAAGGGACAATGTTTCTAAACAAATCAAGTAAATATGCAACTGTTTTTACTTAATCACCGAAAACGAAACACGTCGGCGTTTCACAGTATTGAACTTATGATGCATTTTATACAGTTAATATAATTATATAATGCGGGTTAAGTTATGACACACTCCCAGCAGCAAAAAAATAACACCAGCAAAAAGAAGAAAAACAGGAAAGGTCGGGATTTCGAGAGGTGTTTACCAGAGACTTTCAACAAAACTCTGTGACACCGTAATGCCGGAAAGAATGTGAGTCTGCGCCTGTCACTCCAGTCCACACGCACACTGTCTCACCGGCGTGAGTCACCTGGGCAAGAGCAATATCTCTCTCCTGTAAACAAAACGGGCTAAATATAGGCCACAGAGAGAGAGACGAGTGAAACAAAATTGGTAATGGGGGAGGGAATGAATTTATACTTCTAACGGAGTGAACAGGCCGAGTGCAGGTCGGAGATTCAGAGGGGAGACGCGTATGTGGCGGCCCCTCCTCCCACAGCCTCGACGCTCCGCTCTTGACGGCGGAGGAAGTTGTCCGCAGGCTGCGAGTTTGTTTGAGGTGGAACCTGAAATTCCACTTTCGTTTGTTCCCACCCCCCTCAAACAAAACAAGCGGCGCAGCTTTTTCCCCCACGGCTTCGCCCCGCAGGACTACTGTGGACAAGGGGGGGAATAACTGAAATAAAATCCGTTTTACGCCTAAACGGAAATCTGAATGCCACTTAAAGTACAACAGAGACCAACAGATAACGCCTATTCGTATATTCCTGTACGCGGGTTATTCCATGCTAATGATGGTGTTTGTAGGAGGGTAGATTAGAAAAATAACGTTTCGGGTCTGGAAGCTTCTTCGAAGAACTTGTTCCTCCGCAGCCCCCGCCTGCTGGCGCAGCTCCCTACTCGAACTGTTCCCGCCCGCCGTCGGGATACTCTCTTATCCATCCCTGCTACTGTTCCCCCGACATAGTCTATCTGAAAGAGGCTGGGCACTAAAAAGCAAAGGCTCCGGCCCCGTGGCTCAGCAGAATTTAATCTTGTGCCGTTTAAAGAAGAAAAAAAAAAAACATGTCTTTACTAGTTGAGAGACCCTCTGCTGTTTTTCCTGCTGTCCCGGTATTCATGCAGGACAGTGCCAGGTGACAACAAGCGACCGCGGTACCCTTAGCAACCTCGGGGCCGGGCCAGGCTCGCCCGAGAAAGGCCTCACCAGAAAACATCCACCCCAAGGCAGCCGCCAACGTAACTGCCAACCGCCGCTTCAACTTTGATTTTTAAAACATCATGAGCTCAGCTGTAACATACCACACCACTGAATCTAACAGGTCGTGGGCTTACGCTTGGGCAGTGAAATGGCGTTTCGCGCCGTATTTGGAAGTTGTTACCACTCCGGTCAGCCTGTAGAGCTTCGCTGGGCGATCCCAAAACAACTGATTTTCGCTTTTAAAAATATATATATATACACCAGAAAGTGTTTTTGCTTAGGCTTCAGCGACCCCCCTGGAAAAAAAAACAAAAACAAATGACCGCTCTCATGAGTAGCGCCGCAGTCTGAACCATCAGCACTGGCAGGTGCGGTCGCAACGTTAAAGCTCTTGGCGCCTCGACGGCACTTCGCCATTACAACCCAGCTGCGGAAGGGGCGAAAGAGGTTTCACTTCAAGGTCTCGACAAACTTTCAGGTCATCAGAAAAGGCCCGAGCAAGGACACTGTAAATACCAAGATGGCAAAAACAAGCAGGAGTAGTGCGAAAATGCGCCTTCTTAAAAAATGCAAAACCTTACATTGTATTCGTAATTACGGTAATAACGGGATGATTTACGTTCCCTTTCGTTTTTATCGTATCCAGACAGCTCAGGGAGTCGGATTCCAAACACTTCTTAAGCACGACGCTGTTAGCTAACAACTTAAAGTTTATGACGCCATGCTAACATATAGGTTTCTACGGAGATAAAGTACCATTTCAAAACTATCGACCTGCCATTTGGAGTGCATTTTCCCAACCTTAATCCAGATAGCCCTGTGGGACAGGTTAATCCAAAATTAGTAGGTCTGGAATAAATACTCTGGATTTCTTACCTCTGTAAAGACACTCTGATGCTGGTTTCTACCGTGTCCCAAATGCTATTAAACTACTAGGCATGGGTCAGTCACAGGTCAACAGTTCAAGCTTGTCTGAGAGCTTTTAAATGATAAAAAGCTTATTTTCCAGTTACCTTCCATTTCTTTAATTACACAGGTTTTATACTGCTGCTAACTTTCAGGGACAGAGGCAGCCTCAAATTATCCACTTAACAGGTGAAAACAGTCTCTGTTGGGTCTTACTACTGAAAAGAGGCTAAGTCCTGGGGTGACTACTTTTTCCAAATCCACTTCAGCTGGGCTCCAGGTGTATAACTGAGGATCAAAGCTATTTTCCAGATCAGGGTTTCTGACATTCAGAAAACAGCTTCACTTCTATTAGCGAAGCCTTTTAGCGCAGGTCTGAGCCTTTGAACTTTAAACCTTGACTTTTAGCTACCCTGTTTGAAGGGAACATAGCTAATGCTATTCGTTAATTCCATTACTCGTCACAGATAACAAGTTCAATTATAATTGTTAAATGATAGCTACCTGACAATTTGGTGAAGAGTTCCTGTGATCTCGGACTCGCATGTGGAATTCACAAGAAATCTGTGAGCTCAAAAACTATGCTTAATAAGTTTAGAGAGATTGGAAATTAAGTATGATTTAAGAGACTATTACACCCAGTGTATGAATGTTAAAAATAGAGAAATTTAGCACTTCTGTCTCTGGCAGAAACATATTTAACAGCCCTCAGTGCTTGATACACTGAAAGGCAACTCAGGACCACAGACGGCCTTTTTCCAAGTTGTGCTGAGTTTCAAGTCACCCTGGCTAATCTAACTCACTCTTTGGAAATAAAGGTGTTTTCATTCACAGCTGTTATCCCTTCGTTAGTGCTCCATCTGCTGGGATTGATGACCATCTCAGCATGCATAGCAGGAAAATTGCAAAGATGCTTCGCTGTCCCGAGCTGAATCGATCCCATTTGGAACGTCAAGGGAGGAGGAGGATTTGAAATCGAAAAACATTCGATAGAGAAAATAATAAAAAAGACTGAAACAAAAGTCACTGCCTGAAACAGAGAGTCTGTCTGCCCACCTTGGCCAAGCTTAGAAGATCAGTTTATTGGCCATATACAATTTCTTGCATTAGGAATTTGTCTTTTCGCAGACCCCAGCTTGCTCTCCATGAGACACACAGACAGGGAGAGAGAAGCTGGGGGTCAGAGCACAGGGTCGGCCATGTATACAGCACCCCTGGAGCAGC